TTACTAAATTTTTTAAGAGAGAAGGCAATGCAGCGCAAAGAACGATAAGAGTATTTGAATACTGTTGAGCGACGGTTGTAAGTAAATTCCAACAAAGTAAACGCGAGAAATTAGCGAAACGAAAGATGCACTCACTTTGTTTATAGAATAATAAAAAACGATAAATAATCAATATTGTGATTATGGGTAAATTCCAACAAAGTAGTTGCAAGTAACTGGCGAAAACGAAAACGAAAAATGCATTCACTTTGTATATAATTTGCCCCTGCAAATTACTCAATTATTTGTATTAAATAATTGGATTTACCGAACGTATTTGTTAATGAAGCTCAACCTCAGCTTCGTAAATTTGTTTCACGTTTGTCAAATAATTTATTATAGAAATAGAAAAATATAGGTGTTTTAAAAGTGCAAATAATTACCAGTGCAAAGTTATTTAAAATACTTTCTTGACTATTTTGTTTAGTCAGAGCATGACCTGGTACAACAATTTCATTATTTGCACTTTCTTACCTGGCAAACGGCAGTGGTGTTACAGTGGCACGCCATCCAGAAAACAAACGAAAACCAACAGCAGCGGTGAATAGCAGCGACAATCTGCAGCAGCAGCGAACAGCAACAGCGAAATGCAGTAGCAGTCTGCAGTAGCAGCGGCCAACAGCAGCAATAGAATTGATCAGGAAACTGCAGTAGCAGTGACCAACAGCAGCAATAAGAATTGAGCAGGAAAATTTTTGTTGTAAAAATTGGCGAAAACTTTCTCACTTTGCTGGCACGAAAAACAGTTCCGGGAAGTTTACGGGAAAATGCGAATTTAATTATTTTTGCGACAAAAAATTATAATTTCCGAAATAATTTAAATAATTTCACTTCAAAACTTTATTTAGGATTTGGGCACGTTTTAATTTTAGGCTGGAGGATCGCAAAATGAAATTTTGATTGGAGACAAGTGCAGCAGACAAACGGTCTTCGTGAATGCAAGCGAATTTTCTTTTTTTTTTTTTTATTAACGATTTTTGTCTGGTGCTGATACTTGACACCACACCGACATTTACCGCAACCACTACACACGTGGAAAATGAAAAATTAAACTGATCGAAAATCACGATGCTGCCAATTGCAGCTCTAGAATATATTCACGAAATTTAGTTTAAAAATTTTTTTTTTTTTATTAGCGGTTTTTGTCTGGTGCTGATACTTCACCACACCAACATTCACCGAACAATAATCACTAAATTTCACTTTTCGTAATTTTTTAAATTATTTATTATTTAATTTCAAGTCCCTGCTCGGGCGCCAATGAAAAAATACAAGAGTTTTTGTATTTATTGAAGTTATAAAAAAATGAAAGTTACAACGAAAGTATTTTATTCAGAATAATTACACTTTATTTAAGAAATTAAAATTTTAATAAATCGAAAATTGAAAATAAAACGCGTGCTGTTCACTTGGGACTTGAAATGCAAGAGAGCGAATCAAAAAACCCAGTTCAGTCTGGAAGCTAAAAAACTGTATAAAATTAAAGTTGTTGTTTTTTTAAGATTACCGTATGTAATGTGCAAGGTTGACGAAAGTCAACATTGGGTTGCATATTAACAATAAAAATGAGCAGCACGCGTTTTATTTTAACTACTTTAAACAAAAAATGCAATATAAAAATGAAAACATTCAACAACAATGTTTCGACTCATCCAAATATGAGCCATTAATAAATTAAAACAATTGCAATATGTGCAAATCGTAATATCGTACGATATTACGTGGCGATTTAGTCTCGACTTATATACGCGAAATACAACATAAATCTGTAAGATTCTTAGCTAATGGGTTAATTTGTTCCAAACACTTTTTGTTTTTTTTCAATGTTTTCTAACTAATTTTTAACTAAGAAAATTTGCAGGTCTTGGCGAATACTTTAGTTTCTAATATATCATAGGATGCCAGTCGTTCTTTTCAGTATTTTTGGTCTTTAAAGAATTTCAACATTTGAACGACTAGCATTACTAAACAGCCAGATATTTTAAATCCATATACAAAAATCCATAAATCCAAATAAGTGAGACGGAACGTAGCAAGAAGCTGGTAAAACATTTATGATAAAATTGCTGTATCATCGGCAAACGTTGTGGTCACAACTAGATGACATGTTGGAATGTCACATGTGTAAAGAACATAGAACAACAGGGGAAGAATGTTCCCTGCTGAAATACCAGATGTTATGAGCGAAGTTCAAGATGTAAATGATTTATACGAGACTTTAAAGGATGTGTTTTGTAGATATGGTTGTATTACTCAGTGAACGCTGGGAGGTAATAGACAGCGATTTTCGTACCTAATATCATTATGCCACAATTTGTGAAAAGCATGTTCAACGTTGAAAAATACTGCAGAAGATTCGGAGCTTAAATACATGCTTATTGCATGTAGTATTAGATCTACTTATTTAAAAATATAGTTATTTTCTCAAAAACCAAACTGATAGGTTGGAATTGGGTTGTTCTTGCCCGTCAAGAAAGGGTTTCAATTTCAGAAGCAGTGTTCTTTCAAAGAGTTTTAAAATGCATGGCAATAATGTTTTTGACCTAAATGAAGAAGCTATGGTGGGACCATCAGTTGGTTTATTAATCATTGTAATCAAGAATATTTTCAAATTTAATGATTGCATTAAGAAGACTCTTGGTAAAATTTATTTTTTTTCTTAACCTAAATAATTGAAAATTCTATAAATCAAAACTTCAATTTAAATTTATAGAGATTTAATATAGACTCTTATTTGATCAGAAAATAGGTTCCAGAATTTACGAAATATGCTTTCGTTTAATATTTCACTAGTTTCTATAGAGACTTATGGGAACTTTTTAATAAAAACATTTATTTTAAATTTTTCGTTTTCCTGAAGTTTTAATTTTTAAAGTTTTTGTTCAAATATTGTTTGTCGCTTATAGATTTTGTATCTGATATTCATGGACTTTACAACATCTTCGGTTTAATAGGTTGGTTTGTTAAGAACATGATTATCCTGCCAAACAAAATGGACCTTTCGTACCAAACAAATTTGAGGTTGTTTTTTTCTCTATGTTTTTTTGTTTCAAGGTATGCAGGTGAAATATCTTTTTCTATTTCTACAACGAATTGTAGTTTGGTACAGTTTGGTTTGGTATATTTTAAGTATAATACTTTGATGTCTTGTTTTTAAGTGTGGTACAGATATTATCTTTTTATAAATTGTTAAAAAATTTATCGTGTCTCTTAATAATGCGCACAAATGTTAACAATTTGTGTTGATAAAATGTTACGCATGATACTCCGAATACTTGATATCCAGAATTATAAGATCTTCGTCATCTTTGGGCTTTATACTTTCGAATTTGTTTTTGATACTCATCGAATTTATGACATTGTACTCTTAGCAATTATGTTTCTTAGGAAACTTTTAGCAAGAAAATTGTGTTGATGAAACTTTTGGTGTATTTGCTAAACGTATTTTTGGTAGATCATATAGATAAGGTGCCTACGCGGAGATACATGTTAGTTGTCTTTTAATATCTTTGTCTATTTGGGTTTGTTTGCACATATCAATTAATATTTTGTTCTTCTCTAATATTAGTTTGTTTGTGAGGCAATATCTTGTCGTTTTGCCTGAGTTTTTATTTTGTATTGTGTTCTTATTTTGTTCTCATATTCCTTTATATGAAGTATTGTGTTTTTATTGATTTTGTCAGACGATGAAACATGATTTTCTATATAAAACAATTCTCAGAATCATGAACAGAAAAGAGGATTAGCACGAGCTAGTGCTACTCTTATAACGAAACACAACCTACTTATTATTTATAATTTTTTTTAGAATTTTTTCACTTATATAGTCCTCATGTAATGATTATAAAAATAGTTCTAGTGTATAGTGTATGGGAAAGAACAACATACAAAAAAAAATTAAAAAATTAAAAAACTGTTTTTATTAAAATATCACAGATGCCTTTATAAAAACGAACTTATTATCAATAGAAAGGGAAATTAAAAAAAATCAAATTTAAAATTCTGTTTTAAATATTTATGCGGATATGCATTTCAAAGGTTAGGTTCAAAGGCTATGTGAAAATTCTAAATTCTAGTTCTAGTGTTATAAAGATAGGCTTTTTGTCTTCTTAGAAAAAGTTTTTGCTAAACATATTTTTATATTGACCATTTTTTATATATTTTATAATAATGAAAATTGTTTTTTTTAGTTTGTTTCTGTATATTATGCAATAATTAAATATAAATTAAATTAAATAAAAATATATATTTGAAAACAAAATGAGTTATTGATGACAAACACACAATACACATGTATGTGTACCTGGAATAATATAAATTTAATATGTAAAAAATTTGAATATGACTCAAGTAATTATACTCTATGCAGAGGGAGGATCTGTTATTAATGAGCCAGTACAACTAAGAGGCTTGCAGCTTCATTTGTTTTTTTTTTTGGCTTTAATATGGTTGCGCCAAGATAGATGCCTGTCTAGATGAATAACTAAGTACGTCTGCTTGTGGTATTCTGATTTAGGCCGCTTGCAAGTTCGAGTAAATTGAGGTAAAATCAATTGAAATTTCCTAGGGATTGCACTGCAGTTATTTACACTTATTTATTGCATTTATTTATTATTTTTCTGTTAAAAGTTTTTAAATTTATGTATTTATTCATTGAACATCTTATAAAATTTTCATAATCGCAATTCCTAATTTACCTAATTTTTATCTAATTTACCCTACTCGAAATTCTGGTAAATACAAACATTCGCTGCCATACCGACATAATTTACTATTTCCCTCTATTTACTATCAATTTACTCGAACTCGCACACTTTCTTAAGGTAAAAATGACGTGTTTACATTTTAGTCCATTAATTTTAATTTTACCATTTTGACAACCACTTCTCCTTAAACGGAAAATTTTTTTTATGTAAATTTTTAAAAATTTTTCAATAGTTAAAAAAACCATTCTGTCAAAATTTCGATTTGATTGTCCTCAAATTTGAGTTACGTTTTTGTTTAACTAAAATATCATATGAATACGTAGTCACTCTTATTTAAAATCAGCTGTGTAAATAACATCCCTGATCGTTAGGAATTGATTGTGAATGATAGCCGGAAAAAAAGAAGAATACCAACAGAATTAATAGTATTATGGTACGTTTTTGTAAAATAATTTAGAAATACATATATAATAGTAATATTTTTTTTAGGAAACCGATTGGATACAATTAAGGAGTGCTTTAGTTGATGGCAATGCAAAAGATCGACGGCAAAGTTTATTAATAATTAAAGATTCGGTCATTGGCAGTAACAGACAAAAAGGCGCTCTTATATCCCATGACATAGTACCAATTATACTTAAAATATGTAACGAAACTAATGAATACGACAAAACAAATGCCCTCGTTGTACTAGGTAATTTGTAACCTCAGAAAGCATTATTTTGATGACAACTTTATTGTTATGAAAATCTGGGAACAAAATGCTCAATCTTCTTAGATTTTTATTATTGATTCATTACACATTTTCTAAATTGTTTCAATACATCTAACACTTCTGTTTTATAATAGGGTCCTTAGCTAAAGGAACGCCAGGCCAGGTACAATTATTGGTGAATACATATAATGTGATGCCAATACTAATAAATGAAATTACTTCCGAGAATAATGATAGAAAGTGCGTGGAAATATGTCTTAGTACAATGTGCACAATCTATGAGCAACCTTATGCACATGTAGATGAATTTTTTAAAAATGGAAAGACTCTTTCAGTTTTCTTAAGTATACATATGAATTTTTATTAAACTTTTTAAACTTTATCAACAAATTTTAGGTTTAGCCGCACCCGAAAGCTCTTTGAAGACACAAATTTGTGTTACAAGTATTCTAGTTGCACTTTGTCAGTCGTATGAAGATCAAATTTTACTTCTTCATGCGGGAACTATACATCTTTTGGCTAGAATGATTTGTTTTAATAACAAACATATTCAAATTCCTGCGCTCCGTTGCTTATCTTCAATGTGTTACTCTAATAGACAAGTTGCAGACAATGTTTGTGTTACGAGGTAATAAAATAAATATTGAGTATAAATTTTTGTAAATGATGAATTTAAATAGTTATATAATACATTTAAATAAAAACTGTGTTTTATGTTTCAGTTTTATGGGGCGATCATTGCCGGATATTCTAAATTCATTAATGTCTCGATTATTTACACCTGAAATACAAATAACAGCAGCAAGGTGTTTAACATATATTTATAGATCTGGAACGCTTTTATCAACAGATAATAGAATATTACATAAAACTCTCCCATCCCTGGCAAGGTTATGTTCTGATAATTTCAATCAATCTATAAGAGGAGAATCGGCGGATATACTTGCTTATCTTATCGAGGTACTTGATCTAGTAAAATACGCATATTTAAACAAACATATTTAAACATTGTGTTTAACCATAAATTTAAATAGGTTGATTCAGAACTTCAACGTACAGCAGCCATAAGCAATCATCTTTTAAAATCCCTCTCACAACTTCTTCAAATTAGTGATTCAATTATTAAAAATGCTGCATTAAGATGTTTTGCATCACTGGGAGCTAATGATGAAACTATTAGAAAGAGAATAATGGATTGTACTGGCTTGATTGATTCTATAATAGATGGTGTCAACGACGACAATGATGAGGTACCAAATATAGAATAAAACAATATTAGAAATCATTGAAATGTTAAAAAATTTGCACAGGTAAAACTTGCTGCTGTAAAGTGTCTACATTCTTTGTCGCGTTCTGTTCAACAACTAAGAACTACTTTTCAGGTACAAACAGATTTATAATAGCAATATGTATATATATATAGGTATATTACTAACTTTAACTTTACAATAATTTAAAGTACTTAACTCAGTGTATTATCTATATATCTAATATATTATCTCATCCTTATATTATTTTCTAAGTGTAAGTTTACAATAATTTAAAGTACTTAACTCATTTAATGAGTTATCTATATATCTAATATATTATTTCATCCTTATATTATTTTTTTAAAGTCCGTTAGCTGATGTAGTACACAAAAAAGTTTATTTTACTTAAACGCGTATTACACATCAAAAATTTTTGTCGTCGCTTGCTATTACACATCAAACTAGTCGACATTATTTTGACCAGATCATCAGTATTAAAGCAATCACTAAAATTTCAACAGCAACTGCTTTGCATGATTTTATAAGTAAAAATGATTTTTTATATTTAATTTATATATTTATTTTTATATATTCATTTTTATATATTCATTTTTATACATTTATTTTTATATATTTATTTTTATACGTTTATTTTCATATCTTTATTTTTATATGTTTATTTTTATATATTTGTTTATATATATATATATTTTTTTTTTATACATTTATTTTTATATATTATATTTATTTATATTTATTTTAAATCTTTTTAATAATATGTTTTAGTAATTAAGAAATTTGCAATAGATAGACAATACAAGTAATATTTAAAATAAATGATTCACTGTTATGTTATGTTTGGTAATTTACATATTTTTATTAGTTCAAGGTTTTTAATATTTTAAATCTTCTTAATATGTTTTAGTAAGTAAGAAAATTTTCCCTAGATAGATAATTAAACGATATTTACTCTTCCATTCTATAAAAATGAATGAACTTTTGCATGCCGACAAAAATTCGATTCTATAGAAAAAACACAAGCAAGTTTGTGGAATAATCAAATTTTTTGATTTCCTTAATACTTTCCTTAATACACATCAAATTTGGACAAACTTCGCATGTCACAAAAAAGTTTGACAAAAAATTCTCATGTGTATATACGCGCTTGAAGGGAAGGAGCGAAAACATATGTATGATCTTATTTTGTAGTATATTTGTTGTTTTTTTTGCTGGAGCATGTTCAATATAATGTCGACTAGTTTGATGTGTAATAGCAAGCGATAATAAAAATCCTTGACAAAAATTCTTGATGTGTAATACGCGCTTTAACTTCGAAGTTATATAACCATTGTTACAAACTGGCTCGTTTGTTTTATTACTATTTTTTTCACAAATATTTAATTAAACTATTTTCAATGAACATAACTGTATTGTAAGAATCGTAATTTGAAATATATGCTAACAATCATACATAATTTTTTTCGTTTTAAAAAAATTCCATAATGTGGATAATTACATAATTGTTTACAGATTATATATGAAATACGTTAAAAGTTGACTACATCTCAAGTTGACTTGAGTAGAGTAAATAATAATTTAAATATAAAAATAAGTACAGTATCTTCACATTTAAAAGAAACATGGTAATTTCGGTAAAATACAATTTTGAACTAATTTTGTAAGTAAATTTGTTTCTTCAATAAATATTAAGAATATATTAATTATTTTGTTGATATGCAAAGTTTTTCATTTTATTTAAATTAACAGAAGAAGTATACTACAATGTTTTATGCACATAAATATTCTTTTAATTAAAAAAAAATTACTATTAATAATGTAACTCTTAAATACAGGATCATAATGTGTGGAAACCTCTATTGGATATAATATCAAACCAAACATCAATAGAATATCTCATTGCAACTTCATCGACTATTTGTAATTTGGTATTGGAATTTTCACCCTCTAAGGAACCTTTAGTGAATTCTGGAATAATAGAAAAATTTTGTCAATTTACTAAACATAGTGAACCAGAAATTCGTGTAAATGGATTATGGGGTTTAATGAACGCATCCTATCAAGCTGATGAGAGACTAAAAATGGAAATCATAAATACAATTGGAATGAGGAGATTGTTAGAGCTTATCAGTGACACGGATTCTACAGTAGTGTTAAAAACTCTGGGTCTAATAAGAAACTTAATGAGTTCGTCGTACTATATAGATTTTATAATGGAAGCAAATTCTGTTGAAGTTTTAGATGCTATTATTATGCTTTTGGATTCAAATCATTTACCTGATATTAAGGAACAAGTCTTATGCATTGTTGGAAATATTGCTGCGGAAGCTGGAAACATTGAATATATTATAAATGATGAAAGGATAATGACACATCTTGATAAATATCTGGTAAATATATGTCAATTATTTTCATTTGAATATTAACATAATTTATTTATTTAAACTAGTTTCATTCAGAGCAAAAGCTCCAGGAGGGCGCTCTATTTGTTGTACACAATATTGTGTACAGAAGGGACATATGGAAATCGGGAAATTATTCTAGATTAGCTGAATTGGATGTGATAAAAAACATTAAGGAATTGTATCGAAAAGCAAGTGGAAATAAAATTTCTTATGAAGATTATGTGTTAAGAACGATAATGGAAATCGTATCTCATTGCAAAATTTTTTGTCCAGAGCAATGAACGAAAATTGCCTATACCTATTTAATGTTGAATATTTTAATTATTTAATATAAATGTTTTATTTCTTATTACCACCGGAAATTTTTCAAATGTAAAGTTTATGCAAACCTTATATATTATTTTGAATATAAATAAAATCATTTTCCGGTTGCTCTACTACTTGTTGATATTTTTCTATATTTTTTTCTAAATGTTTGTAAAAATTGAATTTATATGTATTAATGTATTTTAATAGCATGTTACACCAAACAAAAATATAACTAATATTTTTATATATAAATTATAGTTTATTTATAATAGAAGAAACTTGCAATATAATTAAATATAGCTAATTAAAAGTTATAAAAAAGAATACAATATAACAAAATAAAATAAAATAAAATTTAATAAGTAACTAGATCAAGCATACAAAATTATTTTAAATCTTTATTAATAAAACATAATCTACTTTATATGTTTAGCTATAGTAAAGCTTCATTTCTCTCTGTGCATATAACAGTCATTTTAAGGTTCAACGCTATTTTATATAATTTTCTTTGAAAAGGATTTAAACAAACAACTTAAGAATTGTAATTGTAAAATTTTCTGAATTGTTTTATATATGTATGTCTCTGTCCCGTTTTTGAATAAATATACATATAAGCAACCTAGAAATATAGCGTTGAGTTATATTTAACTTATAGATGATATCATTCAGTAGTTATATTTTTTAATTGTGTAATAGTTGAACTAAAATTCAGGCGTACAACTGCGCTGCAAATTATCAAGCTCTCTGGTTAAAATAAAAATATAGCTGATGATCTAAAACGTTCCGTACGTGAGTGTTTCTTTATGCAGATGTGTATTTAGCATATGTGCATGTATTGCCTATCACTATTGTGAATTTCATTTATACTGTCAAAATCATATGTTATAAATATGAAAATTATCAAATCAAGACTATAAAATACGTATTTTGTAAACATAATGTATAGCGCTTCTAATGTAAATTTTATAATAATTGATGGACGATATTAAATAAAGTTTTAAAAACTAAGATGTTAAATGAATTAATTACTTGGGTGTTAAATACTTACCTTGGAAAATATTTAGAGGATTTTAACCCTCAACAATTATCAGTTGCGCTATTATCTGGTGAATATTAACCTGCATAATTACTTTAGAGTATTTTAATATAATAAAATTGCGCAAAAAATATTAAGAGGAAGTCATTGAATTTATATTTACAAATAATATCATTTAAATAATAAAATCACAAGTGTTTATTCGTTGGATTAATAACTTTTTGTCTTTAATTTGCTATTTTTTCAGGTGAAGTTGAGCTAGAAAATGTTCCCATTAGAAAAGATGCTTTGTATTCATTTGGTATTCCTGTTCAAGCTTATTCTGGATATATTGGAAAAATCAGATTGCAAATACCAGTTCGTCAATTTCGTACAGCTCCATGGTGCATTATTATTGAACGAATATACGGTGTTTTCGGTCCAAAAAATTTAGAGGAATGGGATGATGATAAAGAAAAACTTTCAGAGTACGATATAAAATTAGCCCAACTGGATGCAAATGAAGCTGAGTGGAGAATTAAAAAAGGTTATGAGACCGATAATTATTATTCTACGTCGTACTCAAGTTGGCTGAGTTATGGAACTACGTTGGCAACAAATATCTTAGAAAATCTGGAACTAAAAATATCTGATGTTCATATTCGTTATGAAGATATTGTAACAATTAATAATGTAAAAATTGCAGGAGGAATTAAAATCAACTCGCTTACTGTGCAGAGTAGCGATTCGAACTGGGTACCTGGTGCTAAGATAAACAATCAAAATATATCATACAAAATAATTGAGTTAAAAGATTTTTCAATATATTGGGATAAAATGAGCGATAATAATATGTGCCACAAATTATCTTCAAAAGAGTTATTAGAAAGTATGAATAGTGTGTGTGATGTTAAAGAGCATCACTATATTTTAAGCCCAACGACAGCAAGAGCGCAGTTTAAACGAGAAAGATGTAAACAGGCAATTCGTTCCCGTTCACGACCTCGTCTTTCCTGTGAAGTTACAATATTTGAAGTAAAACTTTCTCTTAGTGATGTAAGTATTTATAGTAAAATTTATTTATGTTTACAATACCGTAGCGTAACGTTTACTAATTTAGAAATATTTTTAAGGTACAATATAAAGAAATAACTGAGTGTATTTTGGGGCTGCATACAATAAGTAAAATACGATCGTACAGACTTAAAAGACCAATCTGCAAAATTTTAGAAAATCCCGCATTATGGTGGAAATATGCTTGCAATTGTCACGGATATAAATACGATTCAGAGGAAAAAAAGTGGTTGAAACTTCATGAAAACTTACGATATATAAGGTTATACAAAAAATTGTTATTAAATCCTAATGAAAATATAACTGCTGATGATAAACAGTTTAAATTATCGATGGAAAAGAGTAGAAATCTACAGGACTTACAAAATTTGCGTGATGTTTGCTTTACCAGTGTGCTTAATTATAGTTTAAATGAAAAAACTCAAAACTTGAAACAGGGGAAAGGAATGCTCTACCATTGGTTTCCCAACTGGTTAGGATGGTATGGAAATTCTGAGGTAAATAATCAGCCTCAAACACAAGATGAAACTTACAAAAATATTGAGGATGATATATTAAACGCATTAGAAGATTCTATTGAAAATAATTCTTTTTCGAAACGTGATGCACTGTTTGGTCATTTTACTTTTAACTTAGTTAGCGGTAAATTCATAATTCTGGAAAACGAGGATTCTGGTTATGCTGTTCCTAAATTTGAGATGCAGTTCTCTAATTTGATGTCTCTAATAGAAATGAAAAGCGTATTTAATTCTTACTTAATTGGAATTTCTTTGGGTTCTGTATGCTTAAAGGATATATTAACTCAAAAGACTGAATTTCCTGATTTAATAAAACCACAATTAAAAGAAACTCAGTCAACGAATTGCTCGTCTCCATACATTGACTTTAAAAAATTTTTTATTAAGAACTTAAATAATGAAGACGTGGAACCGTGGTTTCAGTTACAATATGAAAAAAGTCCTGTAGATATAACCTCTGATTTTCGTCTTGTGGTCAAATCGCGAAGCTTAGATATTGTGTATAATAAACAATCGTTTGAATGGCTGCTATCATTTATGTTACAACCTTTACATAAGTTAAGATCAAAGCAGGTCGTTCAAATACAAAGGCATAAAACAAAGTTAAAGTTTTTAGATAACTGGAAACAGTTACTAATTGGGCAACAGGTAGTTAAAAAATTTCATTAAAATATAATTTCTTCAAGTGTTATGTTTTTTTTTTTACAGAAACATCGTAAGACATGGACATTCGAAATTGACATCTCTGCACCACGAATAATTTTTGTCGATAATTTTCTTGAGAAGTCTACATCAATTGTTCTTGTCGATTTTGGACGATTTCAATTACTTAAAAATGAAAATAAAAAAAATAGTGAAATCAATAATTCCGTTAATAATAGTGAAGAAGACGATTTGTTCATGACACCGTGTTCTACCCCTCCAGGTTCAGAAATAAGTAGATCTGAATCACCAACTGTTTGTCAAGATTCATTAAATTCTACGAAGGTTGTAATCAATAACGATACCGGTTTAGAAAGTGCACTGCACAATAAAATATATGATAAGTATGTAATAACAATGACAGATTTACAAGTGCTGGTTTGTAAAAATCGGGAGCGTGGATTTGCAAGTTTTAAAAATTCTTCAAATTTCCATCTCCTAGATAAATTTAACATATCTTTAGAGCTTGAACGGCGAGTTATTTATACATCTGATCCCGAATATCCAGCAATAACATTGCTTGCGACCCTTCCAGCTATAGTTGCTCATATTAACGAACAAAAAATAAGTGAATTTTTAAAAATTATGCATCCGCTTACGAAAAATGAATTCTTTAATGCAAAAGAAAAGAACACGAATATAGAAAATTTCTCATCGACCAGTGAAAATTTTGGCGATGTTGAAATTGATGAATGTAACTCAAGTGCAGATTTAATTATTGTGCGATTTACTATTGGTCAAGTTATCTTAGAAGTCCAGTCTTGCGAAAAAAGTATAGCAGAGTTGCAAATAATTGGTGCAAAAGCAGAACTAACTAAAAGTCAGGATGATTATGATTTGAATATGTCTGTTCATGGGTTACTACTTGTAGATGCAATTCAGTCATTTGGACCGGACTTTGAACTATTAATGGCGAGTCATCGTCATGTAGGGTATGTAAAATTAATTTGTATATATATTGCATTCTTCTTTAAATTATTCAGAATTTCGGGGTGCTTTAATAGCCTATTACTAATCTAAAACCAATAAAATATAAAAGAAAAACAATTGAGTGTCGTACATTATTATAATTGATTTTTTTAGTTTGAATTGATAAAATACTTATTAATATTTTGATATTGTATATACTCTATGATTCACAAAGAGTCACGGCTGCTATGTAATAATAACTATTTTATCTATTTATCTATCTAACTATTTTAATTTAATCTTTAGAACCAATAATATAGTGTAATCTAATATTAATCACTGACTTTCTATCAGGATTGCACTATTAGGCATCACTACTGTATTTGATACATTGATGCAATTGAAATATATTTCTACAAGTGGACGAGTTGTGTTAATAGCCGAAAGATGCATGCAATATACTTTACTAGGAAATAGACGCAATTAAAATATATTTCTACAAGTGAACGAGTTGTGTTAACAGCCGATAATGTTAACATTCTAAATAGGAGTGCTATATCCATTATTGAATAGGAAGTTTAAACGTAATATCGGACACAAACTGCTTATATTTAAGAACATTTTCCATGTACTACTATTTTATGGTTATCAGTATGGTCTAAAAAAAGATTTTTAATCTATTTTGGCATTATTCTAGAATAATTTGTAGAAATCTACAAGTCACATGAAGATGGTGATTAAATAAATGTCATAAAGATTAATTGTTCTGCAGCGGATTCGAATAGAGGTGTCATTTATATTCATTAAAATAGATCAGCAAATTAACTTTGTTGTATTGTGCTGCTTTCTTGAAGTATAACCAATTTTATGTAGGATTTTAAGATCCTACTTTTTTAACGGTCATTATTGTGCCTCTAGAGACTAATAAATAAACTTACAGAAATTTCAAAAAAACGCGAAATATATAACATTGTTAAAAGTGATTTCGAGAATACAATGTTCAGCAACGAGGATCTAAATAAAGTTTTTGGACAGGTACCTTTTGGATGGCACCTTTATGCTAACATGTGAAAAGTTTAGAGGCATTAATATTTCTGCCCTGATTCAATTTTGAATATATTCTTCGGCTTATAGATTTTTTTGAATATACAGAAAATCAATAAAATTTTGCAGTTGTTGCAGTCAGATAAATCAGAGGACGAACGATATTTCATTTGATTAATGAAAATATCAGTAATATCACTAAATCTATATTATTTACGTATGTGCTGTTTGCTGATTTTTGAGTAAGATCTGTCTGTTATTGTATGTCGTTTATATACTTTCTTCATGTGAAAAAACCAAATTATTGTCTAACACATTATTTTTACCTTTTACATAGATGGACATCTAAATGATATACTTATCAGTAGAGTTATCTCTCTATATTGTATCTGTTTATACAGTCGTATATTTAATAGACCGGCGACCATCCTTAATACCAGAACAGTATCTTATTTTATTCCTCGTATGCATTATATTGAATTTCTATATAAATCATTAAAAAAGCAAAAAATGTTACAATATAATGAAGTGTGTTTTGTCTTCTGTTTTTAGTATGGATAGTATATCTGGAAGTCTAAAACAAAGTGAGCCGTGTTCTCCAAATTCTCCAGGATCTCCAGATCATACATGTTATCAACGTCCGACAAGTCCTCACATAATTACGAAAGCAGTTAATAATCTTCAATCAGGTAAATATTATTTGTTATTATTATTTGTAATTTAAAAACTTTTTTCTTATTATTTTTTAAAAAAATATGCAATAAACAAAAATATTTTATTTTCAGAAAAAAACGTTGCAGGAGTGGAATTTGAAGAAATGAATGCACTAATCACAATAGACTTAAGCATTGTACATAGTAATGAAGAAGAACTGTTACAAACCGCAAGCATCACATTTAATAATTTGGATATAATTGGTGAATTACTTGGTGGAGTATTTTAATAGGAAATAAAAAATAAAAAATTTTGAATATTACAGCTAATCAGGAAACAATTGTGGAACTTTTAGGATTTATGAATCGAATTGCTTACACATACAAAAAATTTCAGGAAAGCACTGAATCGAATAATTTTCAAAGCTCTAATAAAAATGAGAGTGACGGTTCAATGGGGACACATATTCGCCGTATTCGCACTGAAATTAGTTTTGAGTTTCACAGGCTTAACATTTTAGTTTTACGAACGTTAAAAAAAGAAAACGTTTTCGTTGGGCGTAAAGTAGGTACCTTAACGATGAGTGAAGCGAAAATTCAAGCCGTTTTGGGGAAGGATATACGTGTCACAGGTTCTCTGGGAGGCATTCAGATAATAGATATCACTCCTGAAGGAGTAAATCATCAAAGAATATTATCAGTGGGTAAAGACCCTTTAACTGATCCACCAAACTTACACGGGCATAATTTATTGGACACACTTGTGAATGAAATGTATGGAATAAATTTATGTGATTCACCATTTGAACAACAAAATGCTTTAGTGTTTACAATTAATCGATTTGATAATTCAATTCCTACAGCCAAAATACGTATGGCTTCCGTATGGTATACACATTGTCCGCGGTTTATTCAGGAAATCAATATGTGTATCTCACAGTTTAAGCATTTTCTTAAGTAAGTATTGTTGGGGAAGGATATAATGAATATCAACCAAAATTTGATTTTTGTATTTTTTTTTTCAGAAATTTTGCAAAATCTCTTCGTACTAAAGCAACTGATATGGCAATGGGCCTTGTTCACCAATTAAACCAAACCGATAATAAAAAATTGTATATACCTAGCACCAAAGCTGGACATATATCGTAAGTAGTAATCAATTTATCAATTTGTAATAATCAAAATCAATTTATTATCAAGCATAGATATTCATATGCCATCATAGTGCAAAATAAATTGATGTATGAATCATATTAGTTTTACATAATTTTTAAAAGGGCATAAATAAATATTTATTTATTTTTAGATTGGATATAATATTAAGCAGTCCAGTATTAATCTTACCTCGTTCAAGTCAAAGTACAGATGTTTTTGTGGCGAATCTGGGAAAGATTACTGCATACAACACTCACGAAGAGTGCGAGTTATTAGTTTCTTCAGATGTAGAAGGATTCGATTACACGACCAAAGAAAATTACTTTATAGATATAAGGAATATTAATTTATTTTCTTTAAATACTTCCCAAAGAAAAGAGCTACGTTTAGCGGCGTTACCAAAAGCAAATGAGTATTATTCCTGTAAAAACGATGCTGTCGCTATTCTGCATGATACTGCTATGTCATTTAAATTCACAAAAGAACTTTGGAAATCTAAAACAAAGGCTGAAAGGCGCACTCAAACTACCTTTTCGGTAAGGAACACATATATATTTAATCAGTAAGAGTCATATTTCTTGTACTGAGCAAAATTTCGAAGAAAAAAAACATTTATTATGAGCATATAATTTTTTTTAGTCGGAAAAATGTCGGATTTGCGTTTTTTTTATTTATTTTCATTTTAAACCAACATTTCTTTAATATACATTAATACAGATAGTTTTTTTTTAACTTATAAGAATATTAGTTATTTTGTAGTATAAATTTGTCCATTGTCCCTTATAGTGTCAGGTTTGTTCTAACTGCCAGACATTTTCCATTTCTGATAGTATTGTGTCCGTTGGAAGTTTGGAGTGAATTTAAAATTTACTTCGCGAATATTGTTTAAATTTTTAAACGATTTTATTTTTAATAATTGAAGAATAAAAACTGCTTTACTCTGTAACCTCTACAATCGTTGATTATTACTTTGAATTTTTCGAAAGTAGAATAAAAACACGTTAATTAAATTTTGTAGCAATCAGGTGAATGTTTTTTATTCCATTTCGATGATTCATTATTCTTATAAAAACCGTTATAAAAAATTATTACCTTAATTAAAAGCTCGATATCGATTATCTTAAAAACCATTTTGAAGAAACATATGATATTGTTTTAGAAAGTAGTTTAAAACTATTATGAACGGAATTGTTTTTTTGAAATGGTTTGTATCATATATCAGATCAACTTTATTATATATGTTTATAACATATGGATTGGTTAATATGATACGTTTTCATATGTTATTTAATCACATTCGGTTTAATTAGTAATTTCCACTGTATTAGCATAGCATTCGATTTGGCCAGTATTCAAATTCAGTTTATAAATGTGTCTTCATCTTGTTTCTACTAATTTTTTTTACAAACTGATTTGGACTTAAACAATTTATTTAACAAAAATACTACAATTATTGAAGAATCACATTAATTTAAGTTCTCATTTACTCAGATAGATGGAAGCATTACGCAACTTCTGCAATTATCATTAACCCGAGATCAATATGAACAGCTTAACGAGTCAATTGAAAATGCGACAAAATTTGTTACTGAAACTAATATGGAAGATAAATCAGATGAACGGTTTCCCATTCATACCAGTATTAAGGATAAAAATGGTGGTGATTTTCATCTTAAGGCAAAACCAAAAGTATATGCAAAGTTTTCGGTACCAACTTTTGTTATTTATTTAAAAAATGAACATCATAACTCGGCAATAAATATAACTTTTCGCGAATTTAAAATTTTTCATAGTCAAATAGAAGACGAAAGAAATATTCAAGTCATTCTTCGTTCGGTACTAATGGAAGATCTAAAATGTGCTATCGAGTCAAAATTTCGTAATATGGTTGATTCATCATCAGATTCTAAGGATAACCAAAAATTACGCAAAAGTCATTGTTCAACATCATGTCCAAACCTAGCAAGATTAAGTCTCCAGCAATCTAAACTGTATTCTTCTATGCCTACGAAACTAAATTGTGTGAGCAATGTGAATGTGCTTCGGGTACAGAATAATTCGGAGATCTCAAGTAGTGCAATTAGATCTAATAAACAAACTATCAGGGATGACAATTTAGTTATATACAAATCTCGAACAACAACATTAAACGACTCAAAATTTAGTTCTCTTCGTACTACAGATAGTTCGATTGATTTCAATTGTTTAAATTTGACGATATCATTGGATAGATGGTTTATGGTGCTAGACTTCTTTGGATTGCTTTCAAATAATGACAATAAAAACATTCAACATTCAAAAACAGATAACGCTATACGTAAGTGTTGCTTATATTGTTATATAAATATTTTGAACTGTAAAATTACTTTTAAAATTATTTTTAATTTGATTTTTAGACGAAAGGGATTTCAGTCAATTAAAAGTTTCTGTCCGATCTCTTAATTTGATTCTTGTTCGAAATGAAATGGAACTAACAAAGGCTAATATATCTAATGCTTTTTTTAAAGTAACAAGAGAAAATATAGTTCAAGAAGTAGAAGGCTCATTGGGATCATTATCCCTTTTAGATCTTACACATTTTGGAAACTTATACCGGGAAAAATTTTCAACAACTGGCGACGAAGCTTTAAATTTCCTATACAAAAGGTAAAGTATTAAGGATTTTATTTATATACATAACTATAATAATGGGTGCAGTACCTACCATTTTTAATTTGTGTTTTTTTTTTGTTTTTCAATTTTTTTTAAATTATTTATTTTCTTTGCTATATAATTACAATTATGTACCCACTAACTTCTGTAATTTATTAGAATATCATTATTAGAGTGTCTTAATTTAAAAGTTTAGAGTAATGTTGCGAGTAATGACCTTAACTAAGATGGGGGTCACATAGAATAGTTAAATTCACAGCAATGAATACACTTTTTAATAAATAAAATAATTAAATTTCGAGAAAACTCTCGATCTCTCTATTACGATGTACAGTTTATGAATTGAACTTGGTCAATTCTTTCATTTAAATATTGTTTAACCTGTTTTAGTATATTTGATTCAATATTGTTCGGCGTTTTTATTTGTCCCTTAATTAGTTGTTTATTAAGATTGATTAATGTAATTAATTACAATACATTTACATATTCTATTATATTAATAAATTTTTATTAAAGCCTTCATTATTTTGTTAATGTACATATTGAAAAGATTTAGTAAGTTTAGCACTTCCGATAATGTCAATTAACTTTATTGCTTCCTTCATCACATAGCACCATTTGGTAATATGCGATATTTATTGTCATTGTGGTCAATATAACTCGAGTCAGTAACTATCTCAGTTCTTGAAAAAATTATTGATTTTTCTTCCGGGTGGAAGGGGGGTTCACTACTTTCCTTATCTTTTTTTGTAGTGCAAATCGAAGTTTCGTTTTAGTAGTAAGGCATGTTGATTTTGATGATGGTGATCTGAATCTGTATTATATTCGTCTTAGATGCCTGTTCATGTGGTTGTGGTCTGTGTAGCTGGTGATATCAATATAGACTTAAACTATTGCAAAAGTGGTTACTGAAAATTGACGATACTTAACCAAATTTGTTTTTTGCTGTCAGCTCAACTGATTATTAGACCTTAGTAGGTCTTTTAGGAAAATTTTTTTTTTTTGTTTTGAAAAATCAATTAAATTCAGCGTTTTTTGTGTATCCGATAGTCAATAAGTTGCTTGAATCATAGATATAGAAAATTAATTATACCAATGAGTCTTTAAAACGAAAACAGCGGTTTTCCTTTCCTTTTCAAATGCGAGCTCAAATAAGTGTGTTTCATATTGAAATCTCCAGTAACAGTAAACTTTTTACTAATAAAATTAAAAAAATCAATATATTAAGTTTCAGTAATTAAAAACCTGTAAACCAATAAACTTTGTACCTAACTGATATCGTTATCTGTAAACTGTGATCTTATAGATATTGCTTATTCCAAAGTATAATGTTTGATATTACTATTTATTAATACACCTATACAGATTTATCTTTGGAGTAATTACCAATGTTTATATTTCTTGCTGATTAATATACTTCATTAATATTTTATTTGCATTTCAGTGGCAGATCTTTGCAGAGTTTGTTTTTTATTAAAAAAGATTGCATCATATGGTTTTGTAATTTAATAAATTTTTGAATTAAATCTTGCATGAAGTTTATTATCTGGAGTTGGTTCCTTTGATTATTAGATTCAGACACTTGCGTTACAAATGGGGCTCGGTTTGGAATTTAAGACTATGGCATGTGACCTGTATATTACGTACATTAACTTTTGGTTTGCTATAATATAAATTACAATGCGGTTACAATCACAATTGCTTTCTCACAAAACATTAATTTTTTCTATATTACTTTTGTTAAAAAGATGTAAATCACTACAAAAGTACAACAGTGCTTTAATGTTCCTTTCACTTGGAGCATTCAGTATCTTTCTTTGCTTGTATAGTGAGTCTATTTTGGTTATTGATGACATGAGAGTCCAAATTTTCCAGTTATAGCGTTAGCCATTTTTTAAGGATTAGGCGTTGAAAGCGATTTGTGTTAAAGGTGATGTTAAGCGGCTTTGAGTTTGGCATTAAGATATTGTTGTCATTGGAGTTTTTGTGTATTTCAAGTTTAAATTCTAGATTGGGTGCTTTACTTTTATTGCGCTACGATAACATGTATGGTTTTAAGCACTTGTTAATATTGTATTTATACTCCAGCTATTTTATAATAAATATATTTGTCTTTTACAATTGAGGCACTGCACGGCACTCTTTTTTATTTACCGAAGGTTATCAATATTTTTTTTATACTAAACGAATACAATTTTATATAAAAATATTTTATTTAGATTACATGGCGATATTAACGGAAAAGGAAAACGCTGTCTGGATTTTGATGCTAAGTTGAATATTCAAATGTCTTCTGTTCGTTACATTCACACAAAGCGGTTTTTAATGGAAATTCACCTGTTTGTTAAAGAATTATTGCAGCTTCAAACTGTACGTATGAGTAAACACTAATCACAAAATTTATATAATAAAATAATTGCTAATGAATGTGATATTAAGACCATATTTTTGTTTCTAGCCTGTTATAAAGAGAATCAAAAGTTCTGATATTGACAAAGATATCAATTCAAGGCCTATACAAATTAGTTTGGAAATTTTTGCAGAGTCTCCAATAGTCTTACTGCCGCTGAGTTATTATAGCACTCAAGTCATTGTTGCTGATTTAGGAAAAGTAACATTAAAGAATAGCTTTCATTTTGCAAGTGACGAAATAGTCATAAGTAAAAAAAGAGAAGATATTTCCTTCGATGAAATACTCGATGTTATGCATGTAGATTTGGTGAATATAGATTTATTTGCCGCTGAAAGAATCAAAGGTGGAAAGAAAGCGGAAAAGTGCATTACAGATAGATACCTAAATGTTGGCAGTTTTACTATTCAACGTTTAGGAAACAACTTATTTGAAGAAACTTGTTTCTTAAAGCTGCAAGTTGAACGTAATACAGACTCACACTTCAGTCATAATTGTCCGGATATAAGCGTTAAGGGGACATTATCGAAATTAAATGGAGTAGTAAACTTACAGCAATACAAATTAATACGTGGATTTCTTAATTATAATTTAGGAGAAACCATTGATGACGTCTACAATAATTATTCCAATAATTTTTCAGAATCGATTGAAAAACTAAATATGAAATATGTCCCTGAATATCAAAAAATCAACGACACTTGGAACACACTATCAATAAATTTATTACTTGAAAACGTATCAATATTATTGAATGAACAGTCTAATTCAGAAACTTCAGACCAGTCTTTAACATGCATAAATTTTATAAAATCTTCATTAGAGATTGATTCGTTTTCTGATGGCTCTCAAGATATTGATCTTATATCAAGGGAAATACTAATAATGGATTCTAGAGATAATGTAAACGTCTTTAAACACATTCTACAGCCAAGAAGGGAGAGTTCTTCAAAAGATATAGTTCAAGCTGAAATACATAGTAGAAAAAATGCGAATTGTTCTAAATACACAATACTATTAAATAATATGAGAATTATGGCTATATTAGATTGTCTTGATAGTATAAAAAATTTTTTAAAAGAAGAACCATATATTTATACAACAACAAATCCTATTAAACAAAAAGTTATAAAAAAATCTACCTCAAAAAGTTTTAATGAACAAAGTAACGAAAATTTTCTGGAAGTTGTTTTAAATATTACTGATTCTGAAGTTGTGTTTGCTGAAAATTTAGATAAAATTGATACTAATGCCATCATTTTAAAAAGTACCACGGTATGTTCCTACAAACCAAATAACGACATTATACCAATGTCGATTGATATTAATCATTTAGAAATATTTTCGTGTATACTGGGCTTAGAAGAAGAAACTGCTCTATCAATTCTAGATCCGTTTACTTTAAATATGGAGTTACGAAAAAATTGTTTTCATGTGTCAATACAAAATCAATTATGTATACGCCTGTCGTACAACGACGTTAAATTATTTTTAAGAATGATAAATTCAATACCGAAGCAGGGATTACTTTTACGAAAACCTACTTCCACTGTTGGTACAGAATTCGAATCAATTGCACCATTAATTGCTATGGGCTTTTCACCTAAAGATTGTTTATATGCTATGGAAATTAATAAATATGAACTGAATGATGCAGCTCTATGGCTCTCTCAACAAAGACTGCACTCAGAAAATTCAGTTTTTGATATTCATGATTTATATTTAAACGCGAATAGAATTTCTATTTGTATAATAGACGATTGTATGGATGCAGATGTGCCACTTTTAGAGTTTTCAATGTCGCGATTAAAAGTGAAACAGAAAATTGCCCACAAGAATCCAAATGAATCCAATAACCTGGTTTATTTGGAAGGAAATTTGGAAACAGTTATCGGAAGCGATTATTATAATCGGCGATTAAGTGGGTGGGAGCCTATAATTGAGCCTTGGGAATGTCTTTCCTCATGGAGGTATTCTGGTACTAATGCAGTAAAAAGCAAAACAGCAAACATATACATTAATAGTAAACAGCTTTTAAGGTTAAATATAACTTCAACTTTAATAGAGCTATGTGAGAGTGTTCGCAAAAATTGGATGCAAGACTATTATGGTTCCACCTTAAACATGAGTAATAATACATCGGGACTAATCAACTACAGACGAAGAACACCATTTATACCTTTTGCATTGAAAAATTTAACTGGGGAACCATTACTTTTTAAAACAATTTTTTCACAGCCTGGTGGAATTACACGCACAGAAGTAACGCAGCAAGATATGGTTTGCAATTGGATTTCTGTAGAGCCTTTTGAAACTGTTCCTTTTGATTTTGGACCACAAACAAAATTAAGACACATGGACTCGCACAAATTAAATTTACATCAGATAATGGTACAAATAAACAATTGGACTTTAATTGGCCCAATATCAATAGACAAAGTTGGAATTTTTTTCAGGTATTGCACGCTTGACTTGCAGTATAAAAAAAGAACGCGCATTGTATTTGATATATCATTAATTGGATCCGCGCAAAAACTTATAACAGTTAAATCAGCTTTAAAAGTTGTTAACAAAATAAGTAGGCCATTAATGTTAAAAATGGATATGAAAAACGAAATTCAAAATATTACTGCGGTTATAAACCCAAACGATCAATTAAGTATCCCTTTACGTTATGTTGATTCATTCATTTATTTAAAACCTATATCTTCTTCGCAATTATATGATAACTCTGAAAAGCAAATTAGTGGATATTTTCGAACAAATAGCAATGAAAGTGATGAGATAGGATTTTGTACGCGGGCTGTAACGTGGAGTGATTGTGTAAAGGATTCTATTCAAGATCTTCACTCCTGTTTTGGAAACAATAAATCTGTTTTCCATACGTTAGTAGAAATCAAGCGAGATAAATACCCCAACAGAGAAATAGCTAATCTACCGGCGCATACAGTTACTCTATTGCCTCCACTGAAATTGAAAAATATGTTATGTTGTGATCTGATTTTCAAAATATCAGGACACATTGAAGGAAGGCTTAACCCATCAGAATCTGTTGATATCTATACTGTCAACTCCATTGATTCTTTTAATTTAAGTATTACGCTAGATAACTATAAATTGTCTGGTCAACTCAAAATTCCAATGGGTCATACTGGCGTTGTTGAACCTAAACTCAAATTAATTGATATCCTTAATAGAGAACTTTATTTGCGAGTTTCTATACAATCGTTCCAAGGAAGGGGCTTGGAAATATATATCAGTGCTCCTGTTTGGATAATAAACAAAACTGGACTACCTCTGGTTTATAAACAAGAAGGCACTAATAATTTAGCATCCGGTCAATTTGAAGAGCATGAGAAAGCACGCGTTGTTTCACCATTGATGTTTTCATTTTCGGACCAAGAGGGATCACCATCATTAGAAATCCGGTTGGGTAAAAGCTTTGGAAATAATAACACCGTAAATATACTGAACCTGTTTTTTTTTATTAAATACACATTATTATCTTTATTAGTGGTGCAAGAGTTTCAACATTCATAAAGAGACTATTTATAGAGAATTGAGAGCTGAGCGGTCAAAAGGTTGTTATGCTATCGGAATAAATGTACGAAGAGGCCGGGGTTTATATTCGTGTACCACTTTTATTACATTATCTCCACGGTTCCAACTTTATAATAAAACATGTTATAAATTAGAGTTTGCACAAAAGTGCGATATTAAAAATACGGTAAGTACAATGTGTGTTGTATTATTTATTATTTATTGGTAGTAGAGCTCAAGTAGAGATTTAACCTTGATATGATTCTACAAGAATCTACAAGAATCATATGTATGTAAAATCAGCAATATCACCTTGTCAACATTCTCAATTAATATGTCAATTGTAAATATGTGTATTAATTTGTAATTTCAAACTACAATGCTTGAATTCCATTTAAATTTGAACTATAAACAATGCCAGTTTTCTTTGAATTTTACATATATATATACGTCTCAAATCTCCACATACCATAAAAGTGGTATGTCTATACTTAGAATTTGTAGTCCTATACAAAAATAAGTAGACTATAGTAAATTTATTGTTGTGCTTTAATAAATAATTGCAAAAAAAATTTACTTCTTAATTGAAGTGCTATTTCTTCAGAATTAATATTATTAATTAAGTCAAAGTATCTCATTATTAACTATATAATCTGTAATAAGATTTTAATGATTATAGCTTATATTGTTGCATAGCATGAATATTTGGATATTTGTTTTGTGTTTATAGGAAAATAAAATACTTAATGAGAAATATTTTAATTTTCATCTTATCACTTTTTCTCAAAGGAAATAACCTCCGTGGAAAAGATTATATCTGCATTGCCTGGATGCAATTTTCCGTTTCATTGGCCAAATTATGAGCAAGAACCACTGCTATGTATTCGTATTCCCAATATTGAATTTTGTTATTGGTCGAATGGCATACCAATGAATGAAGCACAAAGTATTTATATAAATATTCGCAACGATCTTGGGGAAATGTTTTTCTTGCGGCTTGAAGTAATCTCCAAAGGCGCTACCTACTACTTACTCTTTACAAACGCTAATAAATTACCACCACCTATAAGAATCGACAACTACTCTGAAGTCGCTATACACTTTTCTCAATTTGGGTGTAAACCATATTGGAGAACACCTGTTCGACCGCACTCTTCACTTGCTTATGCTTTAGATGATCCACTAGGCCTGCATTCATTGCAAATTGAAGCACCAGGAGGAAATACAATTGAATTTTCTTTGAACAAGATAGAAGTATCTCAAAGCATAACTTATGCAAACTTTATATATATCGCATTTAAGGAGACTTTTAAAATTTCTGCATCAGATAGCGATATTGAGAATGGAATAGAGGGACAACAATTAGTGTTAGGTGTTAAAGACAGAAAGGTTATTTTGATGAAAAAGTGTGCTGGAGATCGCTCGCAATTGTGGTTAATGAATTCTAATGGAAATCTTGAGCATGAAGGATCTTCACCACCTACTGAGCTTAAGTTTGAAGAATGTAATTTTACTCGTATGGTATTGGATATAGAAAGAGCACCAAATCCCACTGAATATTCTAACTTGGTCATTCGTTCACCAAATAAACAAAGGGTTACTACCCAAACTTGGAGGTTTGAAAATGGACGTCTCATGTGTCATGCAAACATGTGTGTGCAAGTAAGATATTTCATAATAAATAATTAAATGAAATTTATTTTTAATATAACTTTGTTTAGGCTCGTAATGGATTTTACGGTCTTTATCCAGGTGCGGATGCCGTCCTAGGTCAAATAGAATCGAACTCGCGAATTAAAAATGACCAAAAAATTCCATTTGATCAATCTATAGAAATACAAAAACTGAGGCCTGGTTCGGGACATTTAGAAGTTGTCAGTAAAATGGATGGGCCAATTCAAACAATACAAATACACGACGTAAAATCAAATAAAGAAGATGTAATGTTGAATGCGGATCCATCTTGGAGTCATGCATCAATGAATTCTAAAAAGATAATTGATGAGTCCAAACATTACATGTTGAAAGAATGTTCTGTAAGTAATACATAACACATATATACTGAAAGTTTTCTATTTTTATACACAAATATCAAGATCATATATTTATTGTGAAATATAATATTGAGTTTGCGAAAAAAGTGCAAAAATTGCAATAGCTTAGATATACCATATTTTTGCGATTGGCACAGATGATTTAAATTCAAAAAACATTTAGTTTATTTTATAATAGAGAAAAATGAGGCACCCGTATTTCAATTCTGTTTTTTATTCTGTTCAATTTATTTTGCTTTTTATCGGAATTTTGTGTCTTATCGGAATCAACTGCTACGATATGATTTACACGCTTTGGTGTGGTAAATTGTATGTAAAAGATGCTTTCCGTTCAATGTTCACTAACGTTGAACGTTCTGTTCAATGAACTAAGATATTCATTCAAATCATTTGCATAAATCTAGTTAAAACTTAATTTAAACTTATATTCAATTTTGGCCTAACAATACGAAACAGATTTTGAGCAATTCAATATAAGTGAAGCTTGTGTCTGTATAATTAAATAATTAATAACAAACCAAATTATAACTATAACCAATTTTCATTATTAAACATTTAGGCTTGCATCTTTAGATAAAATTAAGGATTTTTAAAATAAAATATTTAATTGAAAATATCTTTTCAGTTCAAATTTGAATTGCTAAAAGGATTAGGAGTATCAATTGTCATGAGACAACCTTGTGAAGAGTTAGCGTACATAACTTTTGATAATATTGTTGTCGACATCATTTCCACACCATTCATTAAAGCGTTTGACTTAAAAGTTGCGGATTTACAAATCGATAATCAACTAATCGAAAGCTCATGTCCTGTGCTACTGTACACTTTAAAATTACCAAAGGAAGAAAGTGCAGAAAGTTGCTTGCAGCTTAGAGGGAAAATACTACCAAGCCCCAATAAGAACGCTGTTATATTTGAATACTTAACCTTTGATCTTAATCCTTGCATAGTGTGCCTTGAGGAAAGGTTAATACTTAAAATGGCAATATTTTTTGGGTTAGGTAATTTACCACCGGCACGTACCGATTATGATCTTGAGGACGAAGCCTACCATATTGAAGAAAATGCCTTCTCAAAGGATTCAAAACGATTTTATTTTGAAAATCTGAGCATTGGACCCAGTCAAGTAAATAAAAATTACGAAGTATCCAATATCTATAATACAACTATTTTTTTCAGATACGTCTTTCAGTATTCACAGCATCTAAACTGTCACAAGAACTTTCTGAAATGAAAAAAGCCTTAAGACTAACGCTAATTAAATTTGAAGATGCATTAATTGAGTTTGATAAATTTAGCGATAAACATCATTTTGAAACGTTAGATGTATATCTCAAAGCTATTAAAACGCATTACATTAATCAGATTAAATGGCATGCGGCATCAATACTTGGAAGTGTAGACTTTTTGGGGAACCCTTTAGGTTTTGCCAATGATTTATCTGAAGGTGTTTCAGGTTTAATTTTTGAAGGATCTGTGAAAAGTCTAGTAAAGAATGTAACCCATGGATTGTCTAATTCGACTGCTAAATTAACTGAAACATTATCAGACAGTCTCGGCAAAGTTGTTTTAGATGAACAAGATAACGAAACTCGACAAAAAATATTAGAGATTACAACGAATTCATCTACAGGTCATTTAGCTGCCGGTTTAAAAGGATTTGGATTTGGCATTCTTGGAGGTGTTACTAGTATTGTAAGACATGCATACGTTGGTGCACAATCTGAGGGTTTTCCAGGTTTTATAAGTGGATTGGGTAAAGGTCTAGTTGGGACAGTTACAAAACCAATAATTGGGGTTTTAGATTTAGCATCAGAAACTGCAAGTGCTGTAAGGGAGTCTAGTAAAGGGTCCCATCGCAACTTACCAGATCGTAAACGATTGCCACGATGTGTTACCGGTGCACCTGGGGGATTATTACCGCAATTTTCGTATCGCCAAAGTAAAGGGCAACAATATTTGTACGTTATAAATCATAGAAAATTTTCTGAAAAACTTATGTCTTATGAGCCAAATTTGTGTAATGATAAAGAAGCCAAACTACGTCTTCTTGTTTCGACTGATTATGTTCGCATATTTTCTCGTTGTGATGACGATCCCGCTATTATGTTTGAATGTCATTTAAGTGAAGTACTTTCTTGCCATGCTCTAACAGCAAACACGGGAGCTTCTTCCAGTAAAGTTACACCCAGTTATTATATTGAAATATCTACGAATTTACCAAAGGTAACAAGGCCAAGAGTTAGATGTCAAAATGAAGAAATAGCAGAGCGAGCCGCACGATGCGTAAGTTAAACTGTGAAAAACAACGTTAAATCCTTAAAGAAATGTTTATATAAAAAATGTTCATTTTGTATTTTTTAGATTAACTATGCAAAAAGCGTTTATGATGAGAAAGAACAGTCTGTTGATGTTGATTAATGTATTATATATTTATTTATTTTTTCATATAGTATCTAAATTATGTATAGGCGAAATAATTTCTTTTTTTATTAAATTTATAAATGAGGTGATATTTTTTTATAGTTTGTGAAATAAAACTGGTTTAAAACAAATAAAAAGCAATTTTTTATAAGAGTTCCTTAATTATTGAATCATTTTAGTAGTTAAATATATGAGAACTAAAAGAGTTTTTCCTTTTTTTAAATGCATTGAAAAGAAGTCAAATATAATTACAATTTGTCTGATCAGTGAATTTTTAATCGTACACCGTATCTTTTTGTTTTTTGTTAATAATCATTTTAACAAAAATGATCCAAAAGAAGTAGTGGTGTAGGCAGTGGAGTTTTCTCAGAAGAATTGAACAAATCTTCCCACTTTAGGCTTCCAAATCATTGTAGTGTCTTTCAGGCGGAAGTGATCGCCATTAGGGAAGCTATAGCTTGTTTGAATGTAGATGATATATTAGGCAGGAATATATACATACTATCAGACAGTTAAGCTGCTTTAAAGTCCGTGAGTTTAATCCAATTTACATCTAGAATGGTTTTTGAGTTCTACAAATCTCTAAACGAAATATTTTAAATATTTATAAAAACAATATTTTTCTAATCTGGGTTTCCGCTCATAGGGATATTTTCGGCAATTGCAGAGCAGACGAGCTAACCAGAAAAGGTGCTTCAAAACCTTACTCGGAACACCTAGACAATTTGGCCATATCGCTAACATCTTGCAAATTATTACTGAGTTCTTTCCATATAAAAATGCTTAACAAAAGATGGGAAGACTCAGCGATATGCTTACAGGCCACTGTAATTTAGGAAACCATGCTAGAAGATTAGGTTTTCCTTTCAATCAAATCTGTCGTAGCTGTGGGGAAGACGAAGAGAGTGCCTCTCATCTATTGTGTTTTTGGCCTGCTCAAGTACGGCGGCGGCTTAATATTTGTGGAGCCCCCTTTCTTGAGAACCTGGACCAGTTACAGGGCCTAACACTAAATAGCATTTTATCCTTCGCCAAATGTTCTAAGTGGTTTTAAACCATGAGTTTTCTCCATATATACGGTAACACAATGGGTCATTAGGCCTAAGTGGATCCACTAGAGGTCGCAGGTATAACCTAACCTAACCTAATAATTATTTTCTCATTCACTTTAACTATTCTGCGTACTTGATCGAATTGATTTCAATAATAATGTTCAATAACATTATTCAATAATGTTTTAACAAATGAGAAGAAATCTGCTTGAATAAGTGTGTAGGTACCAATCTAATCTGTACGGGGCTGAACCAAAATTAACCGATATATTTTTTCTGTACAGTTCCAGTTTTTGCCTCATCAAAAACATCAATTTTTTTGGCTCAGTTCCAATTCGAAGTTTTACATAAATACTTATGCCAGACGAGATGTAGGATCCATCTCTATCCGGTTGTTTGTGTTTTAATTATAGCTTTAAAAGGAGTATAAGGAAGAGAAATATATAGCTGTCTAACGTACCACCTGATTATTTTTATATTTTAATACGAAAAATGTATATTTTGCCTATTTTGAACTAAACTGAATTTCAAAACTGATTTTAGGAATTATATTACTTATTTTGTTTATATTTTATATGTCCGATCTTAATATCATTACGTGCAAACTACAATATTTTCAATGGTTTTATTTGAAAAAAGCAATATTTTAATAAAAAAAATCATCTTAAAGTAAGGTTAAATATAATATCTTGGTTATATTGTATCAAATCAGTTATTGGTTTTGGCAACTCTTATTTAGCCTTGAATGTTTGACAGCTGATTTTCTTAAAGCCAGGCCTAAATAAATAAGTCGAGGAGCATTTGGAATTTAAGTATGGCATTTACAAAGATAGATAGTGTATATAAAAAATGTACTTTACAAGAACAAGTAAGTATCAGTATAAGTTATTATTTAAATGATTAAAACGTAAATATCCTGAACAATTATAATTTCATTCCATATAATTGTATTTATATTACAGATTAGAAAAATTGAAGAGGACTTGCTATTATTAAACAGTAGAGTGAGAGGATTGGAGGATTTGTTGGATAATCCAACCGTTAGTGAAAGTTGTCGTTTGGCAATAGAGGAAGAATTACTTTCACTCAAAATCAAAATGGAAGAGCATTCAAAATATGTAAAAGAACTTCATAAGGACAACTCAAAAAAACTAATGGGTGTTACGACTTTTGTATTTCTAAGCTTTTTAATTTTTGGTTGCTATCGTTTAATTACCAACTAAATAGAAATCACACAAAATTTAAATTATTTAATATGTATTCACGATATATTTACTGTGTACAATAAAAACTTTTATTACTTCAAATTGTTTATTCTGAAATTAATGGTAGTTATAAACTTAACGTCTACTAGTAGGTCTTCCTCTACCACGACCGCGGGGTCCCCCACGTCCACGAGTACCGCGACCTCTGCCCCGATTTCCTGCACGACCACTGTCTTTCTTTTTCGTTTTCGATTTTGGTGTGTCATCAATCAAAAGTGTTTCCAAAGGTAAACTGTCAGGCAATATGAAATATCTTATATTGTTACCACGGACACTTAATGATTCAAGTTGAACAGGATCTTTATTTTTAATAGTCATTTTTACCGACTTTAAATGTGTATTCATTGCAACGTCCACTCCTGCGATTGTGCCATGAATTTGTGTACCATTTTTAAGCTCAATGGTCACAGTTTCGTGACTCAATTTCATCAAGAACCTGTAAAGAAAAATCATGCTAAGTTAAGACCAAATTTTGAACAAAAAGAATAAAAGTTTTATTTGTTTATATTCTTGATTCTTACGTAAACCACCACGTATTATAATTTAGAACGAAATAATTTATTGTAAATTAGAACCCGCAAATTGTTCTGCTTGCACTTGCAAAATATGTTTCAAGCAAAAATCTTATTCGAATTGAATCAAAAACAAAATCAAACAAACAATATGTAGCGCCATGCCGGAGAACATGTGCCAGTTGTTTATATATTTAGCATTCTATTTTTTAGTACAGAATTCGTGTTATAATAAAAAAAAATATAAAAATAAGAGCTTCATCAAATATATTTACCTTACAAGCTTCATTTTCTAAATCCAATTTGGTTAGACGCCGGCAAACTTGATACTAAACTACACGAACATCTCGATTGTCAAAACGATTGAATGTGAGTACGGGACAAGGTGTGTACAAAACAATATTTAAAAAGATTGGCAGTAGTAAATCACTCTCAAAGGTTATGATATATTCGTGTGCACGTGCGATTTTAATATTTTCAATATATTATTGTTTTTCATTTTATTTAAAAATCAGTAGACTCTTTTAGATTTAAGCAAAGTACTCACATCTATTTCGCACAAAAAACACCATATATAAAATCTTTTTATGAAATTTTGACATTGACATTGAATACAAAAATAAAACGTAATACTACGTTTACATTGTGAGATTAAGAAAACGAGATTAAATTAATCTGCATTTTTAATCTCCACTGTTCACATTACACATTAGAGATTAATTTTGACGTTCCTCTTGTTTGTGTGATTGATAAAAATTTCAGTAGCAATAATAAAAAAAAGGAGTATAAATTGTTGTTGTTGTTGTTTTGGTTAGAGTTAGTGCTATTACTCGTTTGTGACTGGGGGTGGGGTAGCTTATCCCTGCCCCACACTAAGCTTTTACTATACTAGAATTATTATTATTTATTTATCTTTCAATTGATGACGGACTGTAGATCATCATATCTTTCTGTGCGTTTTGAGATGGACTTAAGGTTTGTTAGGGCGTGGTTGGGCAACGTATCGACTTTTGTGAACAATTTTAGGGCTCTGTCCTTGATATATTTTTTTACTGAGTCGATGCTTAGATCTCTATGCATGTCTGTTGTTCTAATATACCAAGGAATCTTAATTAGTCTTCTTAAAGCCAGATTTTGCGCTTTGAGCTAAATTATAAGCTCAAATTCAAGTTTGACAGAGAAAATAAATTATCGCATAGTTTAAAAATAAAACGCCGACTTATATGCTAAGTTTATATAAGAATGAAATATTTTGTTGGAATTATTAAATATGAGGGAAACACGCGAAGATTGTGGAGATTTTATATATTGTATATTATATATATAATTGTGTTACAGGAAAGATATGGCTGATTCTGGGAACTTGATATTCCATAGCTGTCACGCAAAAGTGAGGTCCGCTACAGCAGATGTAACGGACTATTTCACCTGCAAAGGGTGGTATTCAGTTGTTCTATTAGCTTTCGTTGATTACAAAAGAAACATGATCAACATAAATGAATAATTGTGCAATATCATTCCTGAGTTTAGATATAGATTTATGTACATTAACAATGAAGCGCCGGGCCGATGTATTGATAACAAAATTTTTGAGAGTTCTTTAAAAAAAATTCTCCAAGAAATAATTATAAAAAGATATATGGGATATAGGATTTAATAACAACTTTGTACAAAAAAATTATAATATTAATTTAATATATAGTTTTATAACAAAATTTAACAAATTTTAGTTATAATTATGTATTAAACTATTAATAAACAAATTTAATAAATTTTTAATGTTTGTTTTGAATAGATATTGACATTTCGCTTTAAATTCTAAGTTCGTAAAAAAATCTACGATATTAAGAAATTTGCAGAGTTGCACAGAGAAATAATTCCATTTCAAAGGAGATTTAAAATTAAGCTCGACCAAAAGGAAATTAACTTTTGTATGGAAAATCTGAGATTAAACAACAAGGTTAGTACTTTAATTTCGATTTTTGCTTTAATCTACTTTTAATCACCCAATCCAAACGCTATATAAGTTAACTGCTCTAATGAAGGCAGTGGAAACGTACTTTAAACTTTTTTCAAATAACAGTTACTAACCCACAAGATGAGATAAAGTGTTAACAAGTTCTTAATATTAAGTTTATAATTAGTTTATAATTTATAATTTTAGTTTACAATTTTTAGTTCTTAATCTGAATATTTGGTTCTGAACTTGGATAAAATCTAAAATTATAAATTCTTATCTGCGTATCATTATATTATTGTATTCTAATGTCAAATTGGAATCAACAATTCTTTATATTATTTTATAGCACAATATTTTGGTGTAATTATTATTTACACGAAATTGGCAAATGAATTAACAGAAAAGCTGATTTTAGTAAGAATTTAAACGTTTGCTAATTGAAATTTAAACAAATTTGAGTTGCTTAAATTGAAGTAGTTTCATGGTACACACATACATAATGTCTTAGAAGTTACGATATTCTAAGTCCTAATGTCTTAAAAATTATCGTAGTTACGATATTTTCGACATATATTAATACTAAAATGTGCCTGTAAATTGTTCAATACTGTCGTTCCACATGTGTTCGTGTGTAGTAAATACTTTAATTTGAATTTATTTTTATTTACAATACGCTTTCAATATGTCAGATGATTATAAGTGAGTTTAAAAATATATGACATTGAAGCTAATTTATCGTAGTTACGTAGTTAATCAATTACAAATATTTTTAGGCTGATTTATCCCATTAAATCTTTCAAAGATGCCTTAGACGATAACGTTCGGTACGATGGTAGAAAGTTTAATGCCTACAGACCTTTAACTATTACGACGGGTTCTTTTACTAATGCCAAAGGTTCTAGTTGCGTTAAGATTGGGAATACAAACATTGCTTGTGGTGTTCGTGCAGAATTTGCTAAACCGAATCCTGGATCACCAAGCAAAGGCTATGTTGTCTCAAATGTGGACATGTCATTTTTGTCGACTTCTGCTAAACCAAAACTGAGGATGACATCAGATATGATTAATAGTTTAATATACAACATTCTTGTAGACCAGTCTGTAATAAAACTAGAACAATTGTGTATTCAACGAAAAAAGCTGGTATGGGTTTTATTTATAGATATAATTTGCTTGGAAATTGATGGTGGATTGCTGTCTACTGCAATGATAGCTTGTATTGCTGCCCTTAAAGATTTAAAATTACCAAAGGTTATATATGACACAGATACTGACAAAATTGAAATTGATGATGACTTTCATAAGCTGTCATTAGGGAGATCTCCTACATTAAGCACATACAGTATATTTGAAGAGTAAGTATTAAATCTGTACCTGTAGAAGAATTTAAAAGTTTGTTGATCGTTAAATCATAGTACAATTTCAAATCTAAAAATACTATTGCTATGTACATAGAGTTTTAAATTTATCTTTTTATTTTAGAAAAGTTTTAATGGACCCATCAGCCGAGGAGGAACACATCGCACACTCACAGGTTGCAATAGGTGTTGTCAATGACTCAATTGGGTTATTTATTAAGAGCGGAGGGGAACCTGTACATATTGATCAATTAAATAGTTGCATCGTTGATGCAGCACGAAGAGATGTCGAAGTAACCAGTATTATCAACACCGTTACGAATGATATTTAATTGCAAATATATTTAAAGTTAAAACATAAACTTTGTAACGTTTAAGTTTGATAATAAAACTATATAAAATATTTTTCTAAATTTCAAAATTACCTAAAAATGTATGTCAAAAAACAAAATTAATATGAATTTCCCAAACTTGTGGTATCAGTGTTAAAAATGCAGTAATGAGGTGATATCTTTAGGGACTGAGAGGTTAAAATAAATATTCTTATGGGATTTATTTCATTATTTTTTGATTTATACTCATTTTATGTTATAATAAATTAAAATAAGTGGAAAATAATATCAGTTAAATAGTAGCCATCGTTTTGCTTTTAAAATAATTCAAAATGATGTCCTTTGACCAAAACTTAATCCAAAATAAAAGATGTGATGCGTTCCTTATTTTTGAGGAATGCCGAGCTGGTATTGAATTTTAGTAGAGTCAGCCATTTTGAGAAACTTTCTCCCTATAGTCTATTTTTTTTTTATTTTTTTGAAAATTAAGTAGAAATTGATTACACTAACAAAAAATTACAATGGCTAATTAGCGCTAAGTAGTATATGATTGCACAAAGAATAAGTGACGTCGTTTAAAAGTTTCTTTTTGATTCCCCTAGATGTACCAAATTTGGTCTTCAATTCAATAGATTGGCAGGACTCTAAAAACACATTGGTTTTCTATAGGTGAACAGAAAGAACGTTAATCCTCATATGAGTGATGCAATTTCTGATTTACAATTACAATTATTACGATAATATAAGAAACACAAAAGAAGCCACAGTTATGATAATAGAACAGTTTAAAATATTTAATATGGGTTTACTTAGAAATTGATTTCTGAAATATTATGAGTTAAGAAAAACA